CCCAGAATGCCCATTAAGCACAGTGCCTTTTCGTTGTTTGATTATTCCAATCATTCTTAACTGTCGGTGTATTACTTGACCACAAAAGTCATTAGCTTTTATATATCTCATTCTCAGGCTTGATCTAGACTCAGTATAGAGAAAAAGATAACTAATGACATCAGGTATGAATAACTCTGACATCAATGAAAGAAAGACTAATGCAATCTTGCCAGGAATTTTTTTTTTTTTTTTTTTCTTCTTTTCACTCATTTTCTTTTCTTTTGACAAAAATCACTTACAAGTAGTCTTATTACAATAATTTTTGCTTCAAAGAAAATAAAACTAACCAATCCAATATCTTAAAAACCTTGATGCCATTAAACCAATTTTCTTTAAACAAAGAAAATATCCACAATTCTTATGCTTGGGAATATAAAACCAATATAATTAAATATAGCATGAAACAAAAGAAGAGAGTACCGAAGATTATCTCAACCGAGCTTATTACACCCCACACTGAGTCACTGATATCCTATGGCGTAGGATTAACTATTTAGGTTCAATCTCAAATCGAAAAAACAAATTTTGGCCAAACTGAGTATTTACCCTTAAATCTCTACAAACTCTAACCCCCAAAATTTTCTTGGTTTACCCTTAATTTTCTAACCATTAGTATTTTTAAAGCATGAGAGATAAAGTGGGAGACTTAAGGTTGGAGCATGCCCTTTTAGAGGCCCTTTTAAAGGCTTAGGAGAGAGAAGATTTTAAAGCATGAGAGAGAAAGTGGGAGACCTAAGGTTGGAGCATGCCCTTTTAGAGGCTTAGGAGAGAGAGGATTAAAGAGAGAAAGTTGGAGAGAGACAGTGACATAGAGGAGAGAGAGTGGGGCGTGCTCATATGGGAGAAAGAGTTGTGGGAGAGAGAAAAGTGTAAATAATGGGGAGATAGTGGACCCCTATTTATAGAGAAAAATTAGGTTAGGGTTTCTTAGAGTTTCTCATAGTATGCCTCTTTCTTGAGATTGAATATGGACTGTTGATCAAGTAACTTGTGGGGTGAGAGATCTGAGCCATCCATTCCATAAATGGGCCATCAACATTATGAAAGGTATTTAGACCATTATCTCCCTTTCTTTAAACCATTTTCCTATCAATATATTTAAATAAGTTGAGTCTCATTTAAATATTATTCATTCCATAAAATAACATAATCTTTCCCATACTATTCAAAGATATGTCAAGTCAAGATATGCTTCCAATATTTAGGATAAGATGTGGTCAATCTTTTCCATATCTAATATTAGATCACATGCCACAAAATACCTTTCCTAAATTTGAATAACTTGACAATAAAGCAAACCAAGAGGTAGGGCGTGCCACCCATATGTGGCACGTGTGGGCCCCACCCACATGGTACATAGTAGGCCCATATGCACAATCGGCCCTCATGATATTTAACAAATTAATTTCTAAAATATTATTTGAATTTTATACTTTTGTAAAATTAATAAATTTATTTTTATAAGTCCAAAAATTATAAATAAAATATTAAAAGACTCATAAGAATTCAAATAATAATTCTAAAACAATTTCTATCATAAAATAAACATAATTAAATTAATATCCATATGGTTTAAGAATTGAATTAACAACCATGGGGCACTCCACCTTCAACTGTGGACCATAAACTATACTTGCTTTATCAGACCGACCCATTGTTTCCCATGACCCGCAATCCAAGCAGTGGCTCATTAGTGGGTCACCAAAGTCTGACCGATGAGCCAAAGGGCCGCAATCCCAGTTTGTGGATTTCAGGTCCTTCTCTAGAGACGAGTCAAGGTCACCAAGACCTTATATGACCACAACTCTATGGCGCATAGGGGTATCTCTCGCACATACATATACTTCACCTTAAACGGTGGATATCTGGCTTTCCCGAACGATCTATTGATATGTATGCTATATGATGAATCATGGATGGGGTTTTGGCCTCCATCTCTGTAGGCCCACCATCACACACAAGGGTTCCACAGTCCCTCGGCTTATTCATCCAGGCATAAGCTCCTATCTCATCAAGAGATGCCCCAGAACCCTTCTCGATTTGTTATCTATGCCCATATATCTTGGGTTTTCCAACCGACTGGCCTAGATTTTCCAAACATCTTTGGTTTAGTATGGTCCACAAGGGACCACACTCCCACTGAGTTCATGTTCCACTGTATTATTTCATTTTACAAGCACTGCCTTTAAAGGCCACATAAACCCAACAGTATAAATTTATCCTAGAGGCCATCATCTGATATCATTAATTTCTTCGATTTTTTGGTGGTTGGATTTATTTTGGGTCCTTCATCCAAATTCCTTTCTAAGCTATTGTTTGCCGTGGTGTAATCAGTATTCCACTTTTAATTATTCACTTCTAAAAGAAACCAGGAGATCCAAAAGGGAGGGAAGCTCTAATCTGCATAAAAGAAAGGGGAAATACATGGCTTAAGAGAAAATTATAACTAGTTTTGAAAGAAAGATGTCAAGAAAAAACAAGAGAACTCATCAGATTCAGAGATAGAGAGAGAACACGAATCCCAAAGTGACATAGAATTCGAATTAGGGAAACCAGAGGAATAATAGATACTGCTTGATTGGATCTAATGAAAATAAAAAAAAAAAAAATAAGAAATAAAAAAAGTAAGAAATCAGCATAATAATGAAAAGTAACAAGAGAAAAATATATAGAAAAAGAAAAAGTTAACACTAAGCTTATAGGATAAAAAAAGAGAAAAAGATATAGAAAAATAATAAAGTTAACACTAAGTTTATAGGATAAAAGAAAGAGATTAAGGAAATAAGAAATATTAAAAGAAGACTTGAAGACTTGAAGATATGAGAATATATAATTAGACTTCCCTTATTTATTGCCTAGACTAGTTTAGGATATGAAACTCCATTAGTTTCTGGATTTCTATAATTTCCTTTAACAATTTATGTAATGGTTTGTGTGAAAATATTGCTTGGGAAATATTTTCATGTGAAAAAATTCCCTTATGTAATTAGGTGTGGAAATATTTTCACACAAATTAGCTCTCATTATTTTTTTTTAAAAATAAAAAACATTTTATTTTTCATACTTGAAATATTTATTTTAAAAGTGTTTTAGGTTCATCTACTGTAGTCAAATAACGTTATTTATTAGAACATTGTTTTGTCAAGGAAAATTAATTTTCAAAATTCTATTTTCACATGATAATATTAGTAATAAAAATAAGATAATGGCAACTTTTATGATCATTAAAAAATATGTTTAATAGAAATTTATCGTAATATGTACTAAAAGCCCTTTTGTATGTTAACATCGTGCAACTATACCCTTCAATTTCAATTACTATAATCAGAACCGTTAAGAAAAAATTATACAATAAATTTAGCGTCATTTGAGGATCCAATCAAATAGGATATGGAGATTTAAGCTAGAAATATCTCTTTATAAAGTCCTAATAAATAAAGTCTCCTTACATATGAAAGATTAAGATAATTTTAAATTTTTGCGCTTTTTAATTTTTATGTTTAAAAAGAAAGTCATTGGCACTTCCTTACTTTGTTTATTTTTTAATTAAGAACTTTATTGTTTAAAAAACTTAAGTAATTTACAATAAGGATATGAAAGCTGCGTAGATCTTTATAAAAGACTAATAAATAGATCTTCATACATACATAAAATTAAGTTAATTTTTTACAATTTAGACATGTAAAAGTGAAGAAATATCGTGCTTTCTTAATATTTCTTTATAATGAAAATTTGTTGTTAAAAATTCAACCTATCTTAAGAAAGGGTATATTAAAAAATAATTTATCCCTAAAGTAAATTCTTTGAATTATATCTATTCCTATAATTAATTTGGCAAATTATCCAAAAATTGAAATTTAATCAACATCTATTTGGATAGATTTCCCTAGTTAAAATCATCAGGTTTCAAGAACTAGGTAATGTACGGTTGTGATTTCCCTAACTTAATGAAATCATAAAGATGGAGGGAGAATATTTGGTAACATCACAGGGAAGTACTTCTTTTTCTTTGATTAATACATCATAAGGCACGCATGAAGGAACTTGGGAGAGGAGAAAAGAAAAAGGCGGGAATCGATCAGATGTTCGGCCAGCAATCACCAAAAGCCTCTAAACCTATTTTCTTCCGCAAATCGATATAACGATAAAAATAAAAAATTTAAAAAAATAAAAAAATCTACAATATGCAAGTAATGTTGTGCGCAAAGCTCTAAACCAGACCGGTTGATTTTTGACATGAAATACAAAAAAAATAGAATCGACGACAAGCAAAAAAATAAAAAATAAAATAGGAAAAAACTAAAAAAAACATTAGAATTTATATGCATCGTCACATATCTCACTACACCTAAAGACAACGAAAATTATCCATGTTTTCTTCATTAATTCAAAGATTGATATTTTTTTCACTAATTTCAAAAAAAAAAAAAAAAAATTATAAACACTTACTTGAAAAAATCAGACAAACAAAACCCAATCTCGTACGGAGTCTTCCTCTCTCAATAAACACCCAAACACACTTTTTTTCTCTATACGTTGCCGTATATTTCTCTCTAGAATAAAACTTATTTATAGAGCGAGAAACCCCATAACCTTCTATATTTTTAAGGACCCAAAAACTTGATCTAACCTAAATAGGATTCACCCAAATCAGCTCCTATAATTTCGTTAATCACAATCCCAAACACAAAATCGACTCCTATAATTTAGTTCATCACAATCGCAAACACAAGATTTGCCTTTAAAGTCGAGACAAATCAATGCAGCGGGTGGTTATCACCGTTCCATCAGTGTGTTTACGATGATGGTGCAAAGTTATAGCAAGAAATGGTTATTGGAACACGCTCATAACATATATTTTCAAATAGCCAACGATTGACGGTGATGGACCCCTTCACTTTTATTTTACATTATTTCTCACATTTCGCCGAATATTTAAGGCTTTAAAATTTCGCCGAAATTTCAACTCCCATTTTATGTGCTTTGCAGGTCGCGCGACGCAATGGCGATTTCTTCTGAACGACGTTTTTTACCGCGTTTATGAGAAGAATTGCAATCTCAATAAATCACGGAAAGTATCGGCCGTTTTCTCTTCCGAAAACGATTATAAATGGTCTCTGAGTATATTTCTCTGCAAATTTACAGTCTCGTTTGGATTTAGGGTACGTTTTAAATCCCCCATTTTGTCCGTATTTTGCATTGAATATTCACTTCATTCACCAATTTGATTTTTTTTATGTGATATACTCAGTTGCATCATTCTACCAATTCTTAGGATTTTCCTGTGTCCTAAATCGGTTTTATTGTGCCTTAACCAGTTTCCGTGGAGTTACAGGGATGGATTTGATTGGGTTTTTGCATTATCTACAGTTTCTTTAGCTCAATTCTGAAATCTTGTCCTGTTTTATGGTTTATAAGTGCCTATTTTCTTCTTTTTGTTTTGATTCTTATTTCTTCGTATATGTCATTTATTCATAATTTATCTATATGCATTGCAGTTTTTGCTGCAGAGGAACAGTTGTGATCTACTTAGGGTTTGCATGCTTTGTAAGCAATCTGATCTTCTCTTTTTCTTTTCTCTTTTCAGATCGTACCACATTGATCTCCGGTATAGTCGCTTTCTCCAAATTCATCACAGCTCAATCCATCATTCATCTCAATTTCTGAATCTCAGATCCAATTCTCTGCAAATTATCTCCAAATTTAGTGAAAATGTCCCATAACGATACAATCCCTCTCCACCCATCTTCTCAATCCGACATCGATGAAATCGAGAGCCTTATTCATGCCAGTGTTCAATCTGCTTCCCTCCAAGGGCCTCAAACTGTTTTACCAGCAAGGCCACCAAGTCCTCCAAGGGCTTCAATCCCAGTCTCTTCTTCTCCATTTATTGCATCTTCGATTCCTCCAGCTTATCATAAACCTGTAACTTCTTCTACACCTGTTCCTCCTGTGCCTTCTGAACCACCGGTGAGCTCAAAGCCGAGCATTGGGTCAAATGGATTTGGTTCGTCAACGAACACTCTCACTGAGCCAGTTTGGGACACTGTGAAGAGAGATATGTCGAGAATAGTGAGCAATCTTAAGCTCGTGGTTTTTCCTAACCCATATCGTGAGGATCCAGGAAAGGCTTTGAGAGATTGGGATCTTTGGGGTCCATTTTTCTTCATCATCTTTCTTGGTCTTACTTTGTCTTGGTCTGCTTCGGTGAAGAAGGTGAGCTTCCGATGCTTTCGGAAATTTCGTATCTGAAAAATGAATAATGTTTGAAAGATCTGGTATTCTTGTGTAGTGTACCAATAGCTTCGATTTTTTGTTTTTGTGTTATTTTATTATGACTACATTATTCATCTTGTCTTTATAGTAGTTCTGGGACATGGGTTTTATCAATAAAGTAGATTAAAATAGAAGAATAAAATGATTTGTATTGGTACTGATACATCTCTTTCATTTTTATTTATTATGATTTCTTTCCTCATCAGTAACTTTATATTGGTCCTGAAATATTGGTTATATTGAATAGAAGCGACTAGTATGTTTTTTGTGAACATGCTTTATATTGACATTCTATTTTAGAGATGCTATGTTACAAAAACAGGGTTGGAAAGCTTATTGTTTATGATCAGTAGGTGAATAATTCATAGAATCGAGAATCGGTGGAACTTCAGTTCTAGAAAGACAGAATGAATGGATTGGAGTTTTTGGATAATATGAATAAATAAGATCTTTGCATTTTTCAAATTTTCTTGGGTAGATGTAATTCAGAAAATAACAAGAAAACTTAGGTGGTATCCATTGGTTGCAAAATATGCAACCTAAAATGCATGAACTCAAAGAGGCAACTTAGTTAAACTAGTGGAATAGGCTGTCTGACTAGGAAAACTTGGAGGGTATGAATAGGTCCATTGTAGGGGAGGAGGATGGCTGTGGGTGGAATGTGAATTTGTATTTCATTTCAAATGTTCATTTCTTAGATCTTCTCTTAGAACCGTGGAAGTCACATATTATAATTTACTTCTCTTGGTGAACATTATAAATAGAAAAAGGAAGAGAGAATAACCAGATAACATCTTGCTTTTCGTTTGTGATATTTAAAGACCTATTCTGATAGGTTTCTTTCTCTGTGTGTTAGGATAAACACACACACACACACACATAGCTATGGGTGAAAATGAACTTTATTTTTGCCCATAGGCTCGGTGCCGTCCGATTTTTTTGGACGGCGTGGATTAAAGACCGTCATGGATATAGCTGTATTTTCGCCCAGAGGCCCCATGCCGTCTGATTTTTTTGGACGGCATGGATTAAAGACCGTCATGGATATAGCATGTCCGTGGTGGTCCGTCACCGATATAGCATGTCCGTGGTGGGATTTTTTTGACGCAAAATTGACGCAAAAAATATACAGGGACCGCCACGGCTCCCATAGGTCTGTGGTGGTTTTTAGGCAAAACCGTAATGTCCGTGAGGGAGGCGAAACGATGTAGCAGTTCGCCTATAGGAATTTTTAAGTCTTTTCGTATATATATATATTATATATATATATATATATATATATATATAGTAAGGAAAGTAGGTAGTACGCCACANCTCATATGAACNTATGACGACCCAACTCGGGTCCCGAAGTAGTTAGTAAGTACGTTACGGGGTTGGTACTTTT